TTTACCCCGGTCATTTAACAACTGCAAAACAGAATTTGATGTGACCTCCCGTTTTGCATGAACTTTCTTTTTTCTTCTCTTTTTTCTTTTTGTTATCTTTTCATGTGCCTTTTTTTTTTTTAGGAATATTTGACTTATTAAATGTCTTCGTTTTTTTTTTTTGATTAAATTAAATAAGTGATATTAAACTGGTAATTTATTGCATGCATCCACTTGATTTCAAATAGCAGTCAATTAATTATTTTTGCCCAAATATATGGGAACAAATAAAATTTATCATTCTGTTATTGCAGTTATTCTTATAAAAGCTTTTTGTCTCTTATTATTATTTTTTAATCATCTCATAATCAATGGTGAATTAGTGTCCTACCAAAACAGCTTGTTTTACATATATAATCGTGACTAAATTACTGTCAATTTAAACTTTTTTTTTTGTTTCATTCAACTTGTTTGACCAATTGGCTTAACTAAAATGCTTTTTTTTTTTTCTAGAAATTTTGTAGTTGTAAAATAATGGTATCAGCTGGTAAAAAAAAAAAAAAAATTGGCTGTTTTTTATAAATAAAAAAAAGAGAGACAAATAAATAATTATGGATTTATAAAATAATTGATGTAATCACTAATAAGTTATATCAGTGTTAAAAAAAATCTATGGTTTTTTTACAGATGACAAGAAAAAAAAAAAGATAGATCTTTATGGTGTTATTATTGTTTTTTTTTACAGTTATCACTATGATCAATTTAAATCATCTAATTTTTGAAACTATACTATAATTAGTGATTAATGCTATTATTGCAGGACCAAATGGAAACGTCAAGCTGCTGTTGGCATTGATCTGTTGAACGAAGCTTCTAATGTGGCTGCCGTACAGCAACTGTTACGTACAAATCCATATTGGGCAAACTATATGGCCAGCAGTTCATTAATGCAACCACGTCTTGGCAATTTCCAGGGTACCAATCCATTTCCGCTTGGATTTCATCCTGGAGTTCCGGGTGTATTATCGTTGAATTCCATACAGAATATTGCAGCTACAACGCCAAATAGCACCAGTAGCAGTAGCAGTAGTAGTAGTAGTAGTAGTACATCATCGTCAGTAACATCTGCAACGCTACCAACCACAGTATCGGCAAATTCTTTAACATTACCAGTTTATCCATTTCATTTACCACCAACATCATTCAGTTTAAATTTTACTGCTGGAAATTTGAACAGCGAACAGAATAATGCAGTTTTAACATCAGATGAAAAATCTGAATCAAAATAGGTTCATAACAATACGGTACAGAATTGAAGTAAAAAAACAAAGTTGTTGCTTGGTTTTTTTTTTGTATTATTTTTAATGAGAAAAAAAAAAAGAAAGAAAAAAGAGTTTAAAGTTATATTTTATTGTTTTTTTTTATTATTATTAATATTATTATTATTATTATTACTTTAGTTTGTGTACGTCTTTTTCAAGGATAATTTCTTTTGTTGATGGACACTTTTTTTTTACTGCTTTCTTTTTTCTTCTTACTAAAATATACTTGTATTTTTGTACGAGTGTAAAAAATGTTGTTTATATAAATCCACTGTAATGCTCTCTTTGTGAAATTGGTTTTTTTTTGTTGGTATAAATATGTTTGATAAAAAATATTATTTTAAATATCATTTTTTTTTTTTTTTTTTTGTTGCATATCTTCAATTTTTGGCTATATTGAGATTCAGTTTAACTGCATTTCTAAAGGCCAAAAAGTACGGATGTAGACAATTCTGTGTAGTTAGTTTATTGAGTGTACAAAATAGCTTTAGCTTTAAAAAGTGGTCAATAATTTTTTTTTTT